CTTCTGGGTTCTCCACAACTAAAGTTACTTCAGGGTTAGCCATAACTCAAACTTATTTACTAAGAGACCTGAATTCTTGTTTTTTGTTCAAGGATATAACCAAAAATAGGACTCAGGAGGGTTTCTACAATGGAGCATGCATTCGGGGGCTTCGGGTTTGAATAAGGCTCGGAAATTTGCAAATGAAGATGCACCTTGTTGGGAATAAAATAGACTTTTCCCACTAAACCCTTTTAAAGTTAAAGTGACTCACTTTGTCCAATTGAACGATATTTTGTGTCTCACTTTGTCCCTCATCGTCAAGTCTGTTAAAAATTTCATTAAAAATGCTGACATGAAACCAATGAGACCCACTATTTTGCTAAATTAATGTCACGTGTGAAGGAAAAAAAAAATTAAAAATTAAAAATTATCTTAAAAAAAATTTAATTTAACTATTAAAAATAAAAATAATACTTTAAAGAGAGGGAACATATTTGATCGGAGAATGACGTCGGATGGAGCCACGTCTGTGGCGACGATGGCACAGAGGATGCCGTCGTGGAGGGAGAGAGAGAATAATCGGAGGAGGAGAGCCATAGCTGCGAAGATATTCGCAGGGCTCCGAGCTCAGGGCAACTTCAATTTGCCTAAGCACTGCGACAACAACAAGGTGTTGAAAGCTCTCTGCCTCTAGGCTGGCTGGACCGTCAAAGACAACGACACCACTTACTGCATGGTTCCTCTTCTCTTCTTTTCTTCAATTCACTTTTATTGTCCCAATTCTTCAATTTCTTTTTTTAATTTCTAATTATTTTCCCATTGATCCAAAGGAAAAATCAACCTGAAAATTAATTTACTGATGAATTCAAATAATGTGATGGAGTTGTTGTACAGGGATTGAAGCCAATCCAAATTGATACACCAGGCACATCAACCATGATCAGCCCTTACTCTTCTCTAAATCCTAGTCCAATCGCATCATACAAAGGCAATCCTTCGTCGTCTTCCTATCCAAGCCCAAGCCATTTTGATCCCAGCACTAATTCATCCAATCCCAATCAATATCTGCGCTCTACAATTCCTTCATCTCTCCTTCCTCTGTGAATTTCCAATAGTGCTTGTTAGATGGACTGAACCAGTATAAATCTCTGAGTCTAAATCTCTCTTTTCGTATTTTCTTTATTATTGTGCTTGTCAAATTCACTTATCCGTGTTTAAATTTAAATTTGCAATTAACCTTGTTCACCCCTCTCTAAGGTTGATTCTTTGGGCAACAGAAAGCCTTTTTGTTATGTTGTAAATGGGCTTTGGGTGTGTTTATAAAGTTCATTTCATATATGTATTTTTTAATTTAGGTTATTATATTGACTATAATAGTGAATTTTTTTTTATTTATTTGAAAAACAAGAAGAAAATTTTGAATACGAACCCTTCGACTGCAACAATCCAATGACCAAGACCGTTCGCTAATGAGAGAAACAATGCAAGTGCTCGACAATAGTACAAGTGGTGGGCCCGACATTGCATTAAAGAAAACAAAAAAGGGGCCAGCCTTCACGTGGTCTAGTGGGCTCCACCGTTGTGCTCCATCAATTTTAGGCCTCTTGTATACAAGGGTTTGGAGTAATTTCGGGCCATAAATGTCTAGTTTTGGATTTGAGACTCTTCCACTAAAAGGAGTCTTATACAACTAGTGGGCCCAATTACCGTACACATTTACTCTACTTGAAGACAATTTTTTTTTGGGGGTTTTAGATCTAGTCCCAAAACAATTACTTGTCATTGAATTTAATCCACACGTTTTTTGTTTTAGATGTATGTCCATTGACTTTTATTACTCTTTTTATTGTGCCTATTTTACCCTTTGAGGTACATAAGGAAAACATTGAAAATATGAATTTAATGAATTATTTACTTGTAATTAAATTTTAGAATTTAAATTTGGAATTCTTACATTGATAATATTTACCTAATATATGGGTAAAATACAAATTAATCAATTGAAGTAAAGGCCCACATATTATACTAATCAATTAGGCAAGCACCCACATTAAATTATGTACCTAACATACAGGTAAATAGTGTTCTTATTAGCAACGAAAAAAACTTAGTGATAAATCGTGTTATCTATAAGTCATGAACATAAATTAGAATACTACCTATAAGTTAGAAACATAAATTAGAAGACTACCTATAAGTCAGGTACAAAAATAGACAAATAAAATTGTATGTTACCTATAAAAAAATGTACATAAAATACTATTATTCATTGTCTAAAATATGAAAAAACAATTATATACCTATGCAAAAGGCAATATGACAATATACCTACACCATAGGATAATTTACAAGAGTATATACTATACCTCTACCATAGGGTGAACAAAAATAAAAATAATGGCATATAAATTCTCATCTTACTCATTTTAGACAATAGGGATATAATAGGAACAAAAAAATTTAAATACAAATTAGTTAAATACAAAAGTTTGAATCAACATGTCAAAGATGGAATGTAATCTATGTGGCAAACTAGTCAAGGGACTTGTATCAATAAACAATAATTCGAGGACTAAACCCAATTATTGGTTGAATTTTTTGACCTCTATCAACTTTTTTATTTTTTTTTATTTCAGGTCTACAAAAAAGTTGTGGTGTGAACCTTTCAACTTTTTGTTTTTTTTGTTAAATGAACCTTTCAACATTTATTTGCACAACTATGTGATGTACGCGTAGAAAAGCTACTTGGATTTCTTTCAAATTAATTCAATATAATTTAGAACACATTTTGGTCAACAACTTGACTATAAAACTATAAAAATGTAAATAAATTTGCATAAATGTTCAGAACATTAAAGGCAATAATCACCTAACAATATCAACAACTTCACTGCCAAAAATAAAAGCTCTAAACGTCATGAAATTGACATTAAAGTTTTGAAACTACAGCAGCATATCTGAACTGAATACACCAACTTATCACTTTTTGCAAGAGCAAAAGCAATAGAAAAACAAAGAAAACAAAACAGAGCAGGCAAAGGTTTGCTCTTGGTATAGAGACCTTGCTATTTTATATATGCGAGGATGAGACTATTAGAATGATATCTCAAGTTGTTGTTTTCATCTTCATCCCAAAAAAAGAAGAAGTTGTTTTCTAATACATGAATTTCAATGCATTCATAAAAATGCATACTTGTGAATTTCAAGAAGATATTAGATAAATTCAATATATGTAAATGGATCTATGCGTGACTTTCAGGAGATTCATTACATTTAGTTTCAAAGCTTTGTGCAATTATCCTTCCGATTAGTATGATGTTTGAATTTGAAAATTTATTGATTTAGAAAGGTAAATTTGCATCAATACCACGTGGACTCATATTGTGTCTTAATAATTTATTTCTTTTGGTAACTTATTATTCATACTTTACTTTTAAAGGAGATGTGACTCGTAAAGACTGACTTGTACTCAACTCCAATGAACTCGTATTGTGTCTTAATCTCTGTAGGAGTCTTTTTGTTCCAGCAGCCTGACGAATGGGTTTGGGCTGCCGTAAGAGGAAGCGTGAGTTTCTTACAGAGAACAAAGGGTTAAAATGGAACAGAGGAAGATTAGGGAGATTTCTTTCTTAGAGAAAGGAGAAAACAAACAAGGAAGAAGATTGTGTGGCTTGAGTAAATTCTCAATTGCTTGACAAAGCTTGGTTAGGCCTTCGATGGTGATTTTGTTGGGTAGAAGAAGGTCCCCTTTTATAGGCACAAAGAATCCCTAATTTTGTCTAACCTCCTTCTTTCTTTTTCTTTACTTCTTTCCATTCAATCCTATTCGGTGAAATTTTCCTATCCAAGGCGCCTAGGTATGGAGCCTTTTGTGGTTCTAAGGTTTTTGCACAGCTAGTCTTCTCCATAGGGGTGAAGCGTCTCCCACTTTCTTCCTGGTTTTCCTATGGGAGCTAACAGAGGAAAGAAAAATGGGTAGAGTCTTTTGTCTAATGGGTATTCATCCTTCCTTCATGGATTTCCTTTGGTCCCTGGCATGGCTCTTCGTTGACCATCTTGGA